CCTTGGTTGCATTATTGCATGTTGTTTCTTTTTGTTGTGGCTTTTTATTATTTGTGTTATATTTTTTTCATTGTCTACGCTGGCGCTATTTAACAATTTTGACGCAGTCTGTTTTTTGTCTGAGATCCTAGTTTTTTCTTCAAATTTATTTTAACCAAGTTAGTAGTTAGTATTAAGTCGTATGTTCCCACCCTTCGTCGTGAGGTAAATCAAGTGGATGATATCAGGGAGGGCAGTCGGCAGCGATGTTGCTTTTTGATTCATAGACATGCCCATGGCTGCAAAACGACTGTCACCAAAATTTCCGGCGGAATATTCCCTGCGATCAAAATGCATTTATTTTTCTTCTTTTAAATACCTTTTTCTAAAAGAAATACATTTCTCTCCCCATTTTTTTATTTTATAAAATTATCATTTAACATAAAAAATAATATTTTTTAATCCAAGGGAGATAAGTAAGAAAGTATTATTTTATTTAGTTTTCGTTTTAGTTGTTAAATGTCACTCCGTGACAACGAACTTCATGTTTTTTAGTATTAGACTAACCGTATTAGACAGAAATTCTCTTTTTGGTGCGATTTTCCTAAGTGTTTAATAATTATCTTTCTGATTAGGTATCTTGTTTGAAAGTTTAAACATTTTGGTCTTCAGTCCCAGCGCTCCAACAATTGAAGCACACACTTATTTTGCAGAACAAATCAGAGTCATTCTCATATTGTTGAGATATTATTAACGATCCAAAAGTAAGCGCCGATGTTAGTGGAATGTAGCAGAAACCGTTTAAAAGAAGTCGAACCAAAAGTTGAAGAAAGAGCGAGCCAGCCAGCCAGCCATCCACCTGGCTAACTCGTTCTTCACGTGAAATGATAAACAAACAAGTAACGAACTCAATTCCAATGAACAGGCGACAAAGAGAAATACAAGAGGCATGTTTGTGTTCACGCTCCGAGGACGCAGCAAAAGTTTAGTCATGTTTGAACAGTTGACTTACCAATCAGTGTGCGTTTTTCCTTTTTTTTTTCTTCTCTTTACTCTTTTCCATGCAGAAGAGAGACGTTACAATTCACGCATAAAAGAAACAAGGCCATTTTTTTTTTATTCTGGACGGTACTTAGCGCTATATTGCTCTATGTGTAAAAATGAGATCGGTATTATAATATGAAGGTCTTGAAAAGGCCAATCAAATCAGTCGGCTTCAAATCCGGTAGAAAATCTGTGTAATGTTATAAAAAGACACCAGTAATGGGCATTTGAAAGAGGATTCGAATATAAACTGAAATTCAAAAACGATTTGTACAAAACCCTTGGGGGCATCAATGCATCAGCAGTGAAATGAAACAAAATCTTTCGTTATAAATATTAAGTTTTAACTTGGGTTAACACATATTTATTTTTCTCATAAGTTTTTCATAAAATAAAATGTTGCAATATTTTTTGAATTTAAAAAAAAATATTTTTGAGATTTTGGTGAGATAATTCCCAAAATTTTGCAAGATATTGTATATTTATTGAATAAACAACTATAAGAAAATTACAATAAATTATGCATTTATTTAGCTTCATCAAAAAAATTGGGACTGGACCGTTTCCGTGACATATTTCAATTTAAACATTCTGTTTGCGTTGTTTTTATCAGTTGTGCTTAAACATAGCGAAACATTTCAAATTTATGAAAGGTTTCCTACTTATTCCTTATTCAATCATTCTGTCGGATTTAATCCATATTTTGAAATCACACTGTACATTGTTTTCTCAATACTTGAACATTTTCATTGCTCTCGATATTTTCTTGCAGTTTTCATATCAGAAGCAATAAAACATTCAAGCATTTGACGATGACCTACGGAAATCAAATCCAGAACTGCTTGACTGCATTCACTGTGGCTTCTCTTTTCTACTACAGTTGCGCGCAATAACTGGACAGTCGTAAATAAGAACTAGACGAGATATCGCTAGGCAGATTCAGAGGAACAAGAACAGTAAACCCTAGTTGATTAAATAAAGTATTCAGTTCAAAATTCCCTGCAGTTTAACCGAATCGACATACACCTGATTATGGGCGGATGCCCAACTGTCGAAACATTGTGATCACAACAACAAAGATAAGGACAATAGTCAAAAGAAAACTCTTTATACCATAGCTAATAACAATAAGAAAGAACTTTTTCAATTTCATTGTACACTTCTTTTCATTGCTCTCAAATCAACTATAACTACCATGAAATACATCTAAACTCAAGGATTTTACGCCTATAATTCGAATTAATAAAAAAAAAAATGTTTCTTTGCTTACGCACAAAAGAAAGGGACATTGACAAACAAAAATTTATTTTTATTCCAGTTGGTTAAAAATATTAATATATATGTAAATTTGTTATTTGTTTTATGGCGATGAAATTTTTTGCAATTCAATTGCGAATATGCGAATCACTAAACTCAACATGGCCTATTTCTCAAACTTATTTTTTTCTTAAAATGTCCTTAAACGTTTTGAAGTTTTGAAATAGGGAAATAAATCTAAATATTAAATTTTATTTTTTCATTTTGCAAATACCAGCAGAAATAAAATTATCATTATCGAAATTAAGAATTTTAATTGCATATTGTACACCTGACTGTACTTCTTTTACTAATTGTTCGCACTATACAAAGCCTAAGAGCCACCCAAGACAGTGGATGACTGAATGACGTTGTTGTATGAATGTAAGAGGACCAGGTAAGAAGTGAAGATTCCGATTTATCCGATTGCACATAGCGTAGCTGGTCTCAGCTGTGAAGGTCTGAACTGGCTAATCCAATGAATGCGGTTCCCGAAAACATCTATGAAAAATTCGGTTTCTAGAAACTTCGGCCGCTTGTATTTTTGTCTTCAAGAAGCATCAGAGATGGATACATAACATGTAATTTTGATTATTTACAGTCAGATTATCTGTCTGTATCTCTGTGATGGTGTATTATGATTACTTACATTATTTACGTTATTCGAAATGTTATGCTCATCTTTATTGCTCTATTCACAACGGGGTAGACTGTTCTAGTTCCACGTGCCATGCCTCTTCCGGATGTCTCAGTTATTTTCTTTTAACTCAGCTTTCCAGGTTTTGGTTCATCACTGCTGTAGCCTGGTATTGACAGTGGATAAAGGCGGAGGTTAAACCCAGTGAATAGACCCAAAGAGCTGTGAGTTCAATACCAGGCTACAGCAGTGGTGAACGAAAACTTAGAGAGTTGAGTTAAAGGGAAATAACTGAAACAGCCAGAAGAGGCATAGCACGTGGAACTAGAACAATCTACCTCGGTGGACGAAATAAAGGGTTCGATACGAAATTCCAATCACCTGAAGAAGGCCGCAGCGTACAACGGCCGAAACGTTGTGAAAATATGAGAATAACAGCCCGAATAATATAAATAATGTAAGCAGTCAGATTAATGTTCCCATTTGTGTTGATACTATCACGACAGCTGTGGTTTCCTCCAACCTTCTTCAAGAGTTTGTTGCTCTTGGTAACCTTCAGGGTGATTTCGAATCGAAACCATTATTTAATCTACGTGTCCTTGTCCTGTTGTTTATGTTTAGGGATATGATGTCTTGTTCTGTTTTTAGCACTGCTCACTTATGACAAGTCCACTGGCCCAGAGATGAAAGTCACTATTTCTCTGCCACAAAGTTCACCAACCCAGGCTTTAATCTCTTATGCTGAGCACTAGTAAATATAATAAGACGAAGTATTTCTAGATAGGAACAGCGAAACAAGAACAAGCTAAAGTCGTAGAGGGTTTAGTTCGAAAAAGGCTGGAGCCGAAACGTTGTGTTAATGAGGATGTTGATCTTTTTGGTTGATTCATTGGTTTTCTACGGCTTATAAACCAATTGCGTGTTATTTAAAGCCAGAAATTATTTTTAGATTTCTTTGGAGATAATAATGCTTTTCTGATACAATTCTTATTATTTAACCCATAGCTGAGGAGAGAAGATATAGATTCATATATTTCTCAAGGTTATTTGCGCGTAAGTGAATACAGGGCGTCCTTAAAGTCTGGACACATAAGAAATCTTATTAACTATCTTTTTTTTTACTTCTACAGGCTAAACATGGTTTTGTCGAAAGAAGATATAACTAATTTCTTTTTCTGGAGTATGTTAAAGGAGAAGATTTACTTAATGAAAATCACAGATGCAACAGACTTGATTGAACGCATAAAGAGTGAATGTGCTAAAATTGACGGTAATGTGAAGTCATTGCATCGAGTTCATGTGAATCTTGAAAATTGCGTCAACCTTTGCATCACAAATGATAGAAATCATATTGAAGATGTTATTTGTTAATATTCCACTTCAATAAAAGGTTGAAAATTTGATTTTTTGAAAATATGTCGTTTTGTCTGTGTGTCCAGACTTTAACGAACTAGACTATAACAAACCCAACTGGAATTCGAACTCGGCTCTCCGATTAAAAATTCCGTACCATTATCCATTACACACCATCCGCATATTTAAACTCACAGCGCCTGGTATTCCCAAGCAGCCGCCCATCTCGATACTGACCAGGTTTGGAGGAAGCTGTTCTGTCTACAAATAAGATTAATAATCATAACTCCTCAGACAGAAAAATTTTTTGACTTGATATATCGACAAATTAAAACGCATTTTTTAACACTGAGTTCAATATTGACTGTCAGCTCAAAAATGTACTGCCTTTTTAGTCTTTATCCAGGGCAGTTTGTTTAGTAGTCAGTAGTAGATAAAACGAAGGTAAGTAAAATCAATCCTGAAATCTAAGCGAAACAGAGGAAAAAAAAACGCAAGTACTATGGCCCGTGGGAAGGATAGATTTGAACATATCGACCGGTGATGGGGCAGAGTATTCAACTGATAATAAAGACTTTAGGGGCCAACATAAAACAACAACAACAAAAAAAGTAAAAGAGGAAAAAGAAATCAAACCCGGCTGTGTTTAGAGAAGCGTGTGTTTGTTTTGTCTCCACTTGAATAATGAAAGTGTGAACAGCGTTCTCTCCCTTATTCTCCCTCCTTCTATCGCCCAATCTACTTCTATCGCCCTCTCTTTCTCCGTCTTCTTTTATTTATCTTCTATCCTTTTTCTTCTTTTTTAACTGTCTTTTTCACTGTTATCTATTACTCTTTTTTTCTCACATTTGTGTTCTCTCTCATCCACTTCTTTCTTTCTTTCTTTCTTTCTTTCTTTCTTTCTTTCTTTCTTTGCATAGCTTTTTCGTCCTCGCTTTCCTTTTTCTCTCGTCTTTCTCTCTTTTTATCTATTTACTTTTTCTGTTTTTTTCCATTACTCTTTCTTCCTTAATTTTTTCTCAATCCTGTTATCTCTCCCTTCCACTTTCCCTTTCTTTCTTTCTTTCTTTCTTTCTTTCTTTCTTTCTTTCTTTCTTTCTTTCTTTCTTTCTTTCTTTGCATAGCTTTTTCGTCCTCGCTTTCCTTTTTCTCTCGTCTTTCTCTCTTTTTATCTATTTACTTTTTCTGTTTTTTCCATTACTCTTTCTTCCCTAATTTTTTCTCAATCCTGTTATCTCTCCCTTCCACTTTCCCTTTCTTTCTTTCTTTCTTTCTTTCTTTCTTTCTTTCTTTCTTTCTTTCTTTCTTTGCATTCCTTTTTCGTCCACACTTTCGCTATTTTTCCTTTTCTCTCTTTCTCTTTTCATTGTTTTTTTTCTTTACAGTTTTCTTTCAATCTTTTTCAACCTCTCACTTTTCTTTCGCTCTTCCGTTTTTCCGTTTTTTCTTTCTAAACACGTAGCCATCTCAGTGTTGTTGTCAGGAGATGCGAAAATTTTGCTTTTTTAAATGTTTTCTATGGCTTCCGCATCACCAGTGAAGTGGACACACATTCCCACTGAAAGACGAAGAGGGTTTCAAGTGGAAACTTTGTTATAACTACCCCCGGGCTTACGGCTGTTCACGAATAAAAATAAATAGCAGGGGGTTAAGTTTCGAAACATTCAGATGACGGAAAATCTGACACAGAAATCCGAAGGTGCATTGAAATATTGAAAGATGCCTTCCAAATGCTAAGCAAAGAATTGAGGAACGTTTCTTCAGAAACAAAGAAAAGAACCATAATATGTTATGTAATATCAATTCTATATAGCAGCCAATGTAAGACAATTTCCTCAGAGGAGGCTCGAGGTAACAGAAATGTGGTTCTTCTGAAGAATGCTGAAAATAACATGATCGGTGAATGAGAGTTTTAAGGAAAATTGGAAAGAAAAAGACACTTGTCCTTAAAATCAGAAAAAGATAATTGATATTTCTAGGGTGCATAATGAAGAAAGAAGACTTGGAGAAATTGACACTCATAAGATATTTTGAAGACAAGAGTACAGAGGGAAAGTATAAAGAAACCTACCTGACGAACTTACGTTAAAGTGTGGCAGAACAGGGATTGAGTCAGTCAGTTATGTGCCATGCGTGACACCCGCTTACCTTTCGATATATGACTGACGAGGCAGATTTTTCCCCGCTGTAGGTTGCCATTTCTTTCTGAAACCAGCCATTCAATGCTATAGAACCCGGTCTGTCCTGTTATTTTACCCATAGCTGGGGGAGAAGAAGAGGATACATACCTTTCACAAGGGTATTAGCACGTAAGTGAATGTAATGGATTCGAACTCGGCTCTCTCATTCCGAGCCCAGCCGCTATCCATTACTCTACCATGCCTCCTGGAGATTGAGAAGGATAGTAAAAAGAGAAATAGTGCTAAGAGTTGCAAAGGACAGGAAGTTGTGGAGAGCCATGATCAACCTACTTAACGAGCTTGTGTGAATGTATAGCAGAATAGGTACTGAGAAGGACAGTAAAAAGAGTTACAAAGGACAGGAAGTTGTGGAGAGCTATCACCAACCTACTTAACGAGCTTGTGTAAATGGATGGCAGAATAGGGAGAGCGGTAAAAATAGAAATATTGGTAAGAGTTACAGAGAGCCATGATCACTCAAGTTCTGATTTATTTGTTTTGTTTTACGGTATATCAACCTCAGTGCCAACAAGATTTTTATTGCTGGTAATATTTTTTTTCAAAAATATATTGCTGTTAAAAATCTATTGCTGGTAATAATTGTTCTTCAAAAATGTATTGCTGGTAATAATTTTTACAAAGTATTTCTGGTATTAAAAACTTTTTTGCACTTTCATAGTGTTTTGACCCCAGTTTCGAGGCTAACTATTTGCCCATAGCTGGGACCCTAACAGGTGCTACCACCCCGGGTCAGGGTGGACCTAGGAACACCAGCAATTAAGAGGTGGTTCCACGACCCTCAAAAACCTGTTGGATGTAGTTTATCGTCATACCGAGGACGCGGATGTAGTTTATCGTCATACCCAGGACGACCAAGTTCTGAACAGAGCCCCCCCCCCAAGAAAAAAAACAGAAAAAAACAAAAGTATAACTAGTTTTGTCATTTTTTTTTTACTTGAGATTTATACTGATTACGGATTTTATCGATATGTGAATGTAATTACCGCGTTCGTCAGATGAGATTTCTATATTTCGTATAATATTGTTCAACCAATACAAGCTCCAAGAGCCACTCAAGGTAGAGAGCTACTGAATGAGGTTGTTGTAAAGGCGTAAAAACAGGAAGTAAGAAGTGTTTATGATGAAGATATGTTAGGTAGATGACGGTTGACTTTAGACTTGATGGGTTAAAACTGTAGTAGCCGGGGAAGCATTCTCTTGGAAGACTATTCCACAAAGTAAGAATTCTTGGTAAGAAGCTGTCTGGGTGTAAATTCCTTCTTAGCAATGGAAAAAGAAACGAATAAGCATGATTCGGTGCTGTGTATGTGGGATAGTGGGTCTTAGCTGTGAACTGGTGCAACTAACGACTGTAGCTCGTCTGAACATCTTCTATGGAAATAGCAATACAGTAGCGACATTTTGTCTAGGGGAAAGGGGTTGTAGGATGGGAAATAATTATTTACGAACAAGGCTGTGTGAACGTATTTGAAGGCTGTCTATTTTGTTAACATTGTCTCTTTTCTGCCTATTTTGAAGAGATATTGCTATAAAGTGAACAGTGTTTATTGCAATGTATCCGTATCGTTTATAATATTTTCTAACTTTAGATTAGTACAGCAAAATGCTAACCGGGCGAAGTGAGAGCAGGAAGATTATGTTACGTCAGTCTCTCTAGTTGGGACGACCGACATTCTTAGAAAATGAGTATTCTGTCATAAGCATTAACTTTCCGCGATTTGGACTCTTCTGTAATTATCCACCTTTTTTTTTACTATATATATATATATATATGTGTGTGTGTGTGTGTGTGTGTGTGTGTGTGTGTGTGTGTGTGTGAAGAAAAATATACGGAAAAAACAAACAAAAATCTTAATATGCAATTATGCTGTTTTAATGCTAATATAATGTCAACGTCGGACGTTTCGGTCTAATAGAGCATCTTCAGGACATATTCATAAAACATAATTAACATAGACCGTATTCAATTCAACATGAAAAAGACGATGGACATAAGAGCAATACCAATCCAAACAGATAACTGAAATCTTTTATAAGATCAGCGTTCCGTTTAAATATGATCACGTCGTCGTCACGTGGGCGATGTGAAAACGTATTCCTCTTATGTCCATCGTTCTCGCCTGCAGAACTAACTTCCGGCTTCTTGACTTCTAGTCAAGTTTGATTTTCAAAAATTTAAATGTTTTCTTCATTTCTATCCTTTTATTGTTGTCTCTCTTATACTGTCATTATATTATTTTCCACACAGTACCTCCCTGCTTGTTGAGGTGAAAAGATTTAAACAATCTGATGTAAATGTAGGTGTTATTGATCTATATTACTATGTTAGTATTTTCATATTGCGATGGAACGAGAGTTTCTGCCCTCACTCTGGTTGTTCGGCCATTTATATAAGGTTCTCATCATACTGTCTTGTGTGTGTCTATCTTAAATTCATCTGGTTTCACTTATTTCTTATGTGAGCACATTCACCAACATCTATTAAGACTCGATTCTGCCATTGGTATATTTGAGGTCATCTTCTAGGTCAACGTCTTTTGGCGTTCTGGGGTGGCGTGGAGTACAAAGCTTACTTTGGTATCTCTTAGGGCGACTTCAGTACACATTAGGGTCACTACATATCAGCTCTTTTTAAGTCAAACGTTCCTGATGGACATTAAATTCGATTTAGATCTCCTGGGTGAATCATACACACTAGAGATTTCAATTTAATGCTGTAATGTATCCGATTAGATATAAGTATTTCTTTATTTTCCCAAAGTCACCCTCAGCTGATCTTATGCTGAACAACAGTTTTATAATTGGTGAATGTTTAAGTAGAAGAATATTTGTCTAAAAAAGCAAGAACAATAGTTCGAATAAATTTCTCACCTTCAGAACTCACTTCCGGCTTCTTGATTTAGGAGAAGGACAACTTTTGCGTGTAACTGATAATGACATCTCGTTAAAAAAGTTTTTGCTATAGAGATCAGAGCAGCAACGTCTACTGTGCCTCTATATTTCCACATGCCCTAAAGAGATGAGGGGGGGATTATTGATCCGATCGAAATAACCCGTTGTTATAGGGGACAATCCGAAAGTAATGCTTCCTATTTATTTCGTTGGAAATTACAACAGGTACTGGAAGCACAATAAATCTGTTGGAGAGAACAGGTTTTCAGTACAACATTATTTGTCAACTTTTTCACAGCAGTGATAATATCATGTGTGTGCGCGTAACCTAGCGGTTATCAACGCTGAAACTGAAACCACCGTGCAGGGTTCAAGTACAGTCTGAATTCGTCAAGTTCACTTTCGGACAAATATCCTTAAGAAAGACATGAATCCTTTTCTCAAACATGCTACAGGTTAAATAGAAGAGCAGACTCAGTTCTCTAGTCTTGGTTAGCAACCATTCAAGGAGAAGGACAACTTTGGCGTATGACTGGTAATGACATCTTGTTAAAAAGTTTTTGTTATAGAAATCACAGCAGCAACGTCTACTGTGGCTCTATATTCCCATATGCCCTAAAGAGAGGGTGGGATTATTGATCCGATCGGAAATGAATTACGTGGTTTACGTTGATATTCCTGAAGCTTAATTTATTTTGGCACAATGCCACGAGTATGTGGATCGAACTCACTAATAATGGCCAACTAGAGTAGTTCGCTAACCATTACCCAAAACCGAGGTGCCAATTTATTTTGTATATCATTATTTAATAAACTTAGATTAGTTTAGGTCAAAGTTACAAGCGTGAGTCCTTTGTTGAGAATCAAACTTATTACTCACTAATAACAGTCCACCAGACTGTCTCGATAACCATTATTCGACGATGAGGCGGCGAAATCATTTTGTATATCATTAATTAATAAACTTAGATTAGTTAAGGTCAAAGTTTCAAGTGTGACGCATTCAGTGAGAAACGAACATACTATTCAATAGTAACGCTCCACAAAGCTAACTAGCTGACCTTAAACCCATCTCTAGGCGTGTAGTAATCGATAGCGTCATAGTTTGGTTGAATATTATTATTATTGTTATTGTTATATCATTATTTAGTGAGTTTCATCCTCAATGGCTGCTAATACATGTAACCATGTGCTAAAGCTAAGCTTAGTAAATAAGTCTATATATTTATCTGTCGATTCCGAGCCCAAAATATCCACTTTAAACATTATTTTCAATCACCTGACTCCCTGAGCGTCTTTGGAATTCCATTGCCTGTTAATTTTAAAGATTTATTTTTCTTTTTTTGAAGGACTAATTGAAAACTTCAGA